AGTAATAGGTGTCCACCTTGCTGATATTGAGCTGAGTGCAGCTCCGAGCCATCGTAATAGTGTATCAATAGTAGCCTCCCACTGCAGATGTTGCGCACGAGTTCCTCTAGGTTGGGGAGGAAACTACACGAGGATGAAAACTATCCTGAGGCTGCCCCGCTCGATTTTCACTCCGCCACGCCGTCCCCAACGATCCTTTGGTGTGTGAATAAACCCCTTGATGCAGGACATATTGACGAACCTTCTTCTCAGCCAAAGCGTGAGACCACAACTGTTATTTGTGTGCTCCCCTCGTCCAACCAAAATCATTTTTTTTCTTCCTCGCGTCGACCACGGCGGCTGGATGCCTCGACAACTTCGCATGGCCGCTGCCCCCGGCCATGGAGGGAAGCCGGGCTGCGTGGGCAGCCGACCACCAAAGAATACGGAGACGCTATCAGGCACGTGGCAGGGACAGCGAAAGAGCACCCGAGACAATTATTGCCCGGGGGCCAGGGCGAAAATGTTACTTAAGACCGGGTATTTCGAAGGCACGAGGAGGAGGGGGAGGAGGAGGAGGAGGAGGAGAAGGAAGGAGAGCACTGAGCAAAGCCCTGAGGGTCATCGCCAGCCGACTCCTGTGAGTCTGGGCGCCCCGCTGACCAGAAGAAGGCGTGCTCCCAAGGTGTCGCGCTCATTGGCGAGTCAGTACATTACACGCGGGAAGAAATGTGATGGGCAGCGACCACGGACGACAACGACGAGGAGCGGAGGCGAGGAGGGGGGAACTAACTCAGCTTTGCCACACTGCGGCCACGAGCGATGCGAGGCGAGGATGCGCAGCACAAGCTTCCCTAGCGTACTGCCACATGGCCTCCCACGCGTTGGAGGTGGCCCCGTGGCGCGCCGCTGTGGATGCCGCGTAAACGCAATACACCGCCAGGGCACGGCGAGCGATAGCGCTCGCCGTGTCTTCGGAAAAACGGGGGGAGAGGAGCAGAAAGTGAGACCAGCGCTCGCCGGGTGGAGGGGCAGTCAGCGCCAGCTGCCTGCGCCCGAACTCCGCGACCCTGGAGCAGTGGATGTAGTGCTCGACGCTGTCCTCACCGTGTCCGCATGCAAACGCGCAAGGCGCTGGCCTCTGCATGCGGCGCCCTGTAGTCCAGCCGTTGCACATGACGCGGTAGACCGATGCCCACACCCGCGGGGGCACCAGCGGCGCCAGGCCGCGGAGCGCGAGCGTCGCGCGCTCCAAGCGGCGCCCACGGAGCACCGGGAGTTGGAGACGAGAAAGGCAGCGGTCGAGGTGGCGGACGGCGCCCTGCGGGCGCGGGTCCGCCAATATAATCCGACACCGCTTCTGCCATTCAGACCTCGGCGCTGGTTCCGGCGCGTCGCCCTGAACCAATGTCTCGACCGACGCTCTGGCTGCTGCTGCCTTGTGTTCCAGATGGCCGCGCGCGTTTGTGAGGTTCGTGAAGAAATTCTGGCCGTGCCAGCCGCTCGAGGCAACCAAACGATCCAAATGATCAGAATCCAGTCGGAGTGCGTCCAAAAAACGAGAACGACGACGTACCTGAAGTCCTCCATGAGCTGTGTTCTCCCATCGATATACCCGGCACTTGGCCGCGATCGCCACGGATGCTGCGTCGACCAATTCCGCGTGAAACCCCAAGGACCGCAAGCTCCGGAGCGCCGCTGGGGTAGTCCAGCAGCGGGGGCCGGGGAAGAGGAGGACGCATGCCTGCTGCTCCACAACGTCCCAATTGGACGGCAACTGGTCCAGCTGCAGGAGGAAGGAGAGCACGGGGAAGATGTAGGTGCGGTAAGCCAAGAGGGTCAGCATCATTCCGCAGCCGATGCCCCGCCACACCTTGGCCCGGGAAATGAACTTGTCCAAAGCCTTTGTCCACGAATGTTCACCGCGTTCCGGACCGACGACGAAGCCCAAGTAAGTTGCGTACCGGCGGATGGTGAAGTCGCTCCACGTGGGCGCGGCCACTTGGAGACGCTCTCTCACGCGGTCGGTTGATTCCAGTGCCAATGGAACCCAAACCGTTTTTCCGTGGTGTAGTCGCAGCCCCGACAGTCGCTCGTACTCGTCGAAAGTGTGCTCAAGAATGGAAGCGTCCCCCGTCCCGCGAACCAGGCCGACGGCCAGGTCGTCGGCGTAGGCGCGAGGAACGGCGTCTGGGATGAGGCGCGGGAGCCTCCGCAAAAGAACATCCGAAAGCACGGCGAAGAGGAGCGGGGAGAGGGGGCAGCCCTGGCGGACCCCCGCGGTGAGCTCGAAGCCGTCGAAAGTGGACCCGCCGTGCGCGATGCGGCACCTGTTGTTCCGATACAGCGCTTGGATGAAATGCACGCACCATGGCGGCCAACCCCGGGCCGCGATGACATCAAGAAGGAACTCCTGGCTGACGCTCGGGAAGGCCGCCTCGAAATCGAAGAAGACCATGGCGGACGAGTCGTACTTAAGCGAGTGGTGGAGCATGAACTCTTCGACGTCCATGAGGTTTGCAAGCATCGAGCGCCCATGCAGGAACCCCCGCTGGCAATCGGAGACCCCGGGGGCAACGGTGGGCTCAATGTACATGCGGACCGCGCTGCATATAATTCTGTTGTCTGTATTCGTGATGTTCAAGGGCCGCATGTTCGAGGGGACATAGAACTCCATGCCGTCTCCAGTAATGCCTGATGGCTTCTTGGGGAGGAAGACCATGGAGCTCTCATTGAACGAGTCCCAGTCCGAGTCCATCAGCGCCGCGCCACTGGGGCTGGCGATGGCCAGGAAGGCCTCGTACAGAGCTCTCGTCGCGAAGCCGCCTAAAGCACGCCATGCGCGGAACGGGATCCCATCTGGTCCAGGAGAGCTGTTGCTCGTGTGCTGGACCGCCCGCTCGAAGATCTCGAAGGGCACTCCAACCAAAATCAATACTCCAGTGATTCCCCAGTCTCTGCGATATCTCGACCAAAGTACCTGTTGACCTCCTCTGCGTCCCTATCAATCCCACTGCATCAGAATTAGAAAGCTCTTCGATGGCGTTTCGGCTCCTGTCCTTGCTGGCGCTCTGCGGGTTGAACTGCGCAAACATGATGCCACGTCGGGCTGCCGACGCTGAAGAAGCAACAGGTGCCATGGCATGATGCAAGCCGATGCCTCTCTGTCTGAAGGCGCCCGATAAGGGGGGCCCGCGGCCCCCAATCCCCGATCCAGAGCGGCGCCTTGCCTCCTCCTGCTCCTGCTCCTCCTGCTCCTCCTCCTCCCCCTCCTCCTCTCCCCATCCTCCTCACCCAACTCCGTATGTTGTCGCACTGGTCGAGAAGGAGGAGGGGGGAGGCAGGGAGAGAAAGGGGGATATAACATATGATGAGGGATGAGGGAGATAGGAGGGACCAGGAAATACATAATTCGACAGAAACTTAACCTTCCTCAGCCGATCATAGGGCGATTCTAAAGACTTCTCTTCAATTTGACTCCTTCTCCTCGTCCCCCCTCTTTCCGTCCATTGCAAGTACGAAGTACGACCCATCTCCCCCCTCACCGAACTCCAGGAAGATGGTTGGCCACAACCCGTGGGTAGGCCTGTGAGGACCTCCAGAAGTCGAAAACTGCAAGACACCTCCTGCCCTGAATTTTCCGCGACGTGAACATGGTTGAGCTTCCGCCCAGAAACCTGCCCTGTTTATGCTACTGTTTCTCCTTCGATTCGGGCGCTGCTAGAAGTACCCCTGGCCCAAGGTGCCCGCAGCTTTTCACTCCGTCTTGGAGCCCCTGGGGCCCTCTGGGCCCTGCAAGGGGTGCCCTGGAGGCCGCCTGGGCCTCCCTGAGAATCCTGGGGGTACCTTGGGCCAGGGGTACTTCTAGCAACACCCGATCGATGCTGGCTCGCACCGTTTCCGAGGCTGGGTGGTGACGTCGGTGATGAATCGGCGACGTCGGCGAGGCACCTGCACCACCAGCGCCGCTGACGTGGAGAAACACTGGCACCATATCGAGCCGCAGCGCCGATGCATCGGCGATGGACCCCACTCAGTCGGGGATGGGCAGAACCCCATGTAGTAAAACATGTTTTAGTGCAAACGACCTCGGACCCAAACCTGGCGGGCGCGAACCTGGAAAATGATGACCGCGGCGCCCTCTCGAGAACCGAAAACAGACAATTCACTGATCGACGCGTCAGGGTGGGGGCTCTGTCCACCCCCGGCTTAGGAGGCCCAGATTCCCGCCCTCCGATGCCGCGGCTCCGCAGCTCTCTCCAGGGGTGCGACCTGACCAAAATCCCGCGGCGGATCGAGGGCCTCCCAGGAGGCCCGAAAAGGCTAAAACGGAGCGCAAAGGCAGCGACACCTGTGACGATCGGCGGCGAGCCGGGGGGGCCAGTGAGACGGGGCGGGCCTTCTCAGAAGGCGTGGAAGTCCCCCCAGCCTTCCAGACAAGCTGTCCAAGCCTCCCCCCGAGGACGCAGACGCCTCCTCGAGAAGGCGCCCGGGCTTCTGCGAAGCCCCGCCGCCTCTGGAGAAGGCCTCCTCCTTCGCACCCCCCCCCCCTTCGCTCGCTATCGAAACGAGGCCTCCCCGTTCCCATCTAGAGGCCTCCTAGATGGGGTCGGAGCAGGTCGGGTCGGAGGATCGCGCCGCACTGCCGATACATCGGCGATGCACCGGCGATGCACCGGCGATGCATCGGCGATGCGCCGGCGACGTCGACGTGAAGCAAACCGGGCTCCACATCGAGCCGCATCGGCGATGCATCGGCGATGCGGCACGGTCCTCCGACCCCACCTGCTCCGACCTCATCTATCGGGGGTGGACAAACCTCCCTTTAGTAAACCTCCCCTCAGTGAAAACGGCCTGGGACCGAAACCGACGGACCTGGACCCGCAGAACTGACGGCCGCGACGCCCTCTCGCGAACCGAAGACGGCCCATTCGCTAGTCGACGCGTCAAAGATGGAGGCCTGTCCAACCCCGATATAAAGGCCAACTGGGCCGACCCGCCCCCGGGAGCCGGGCGGCGGCCTCCGCCGGGGCGCGGGGCCCGCCGCGGCGCGCCCCGGCGAGGCGCGCCGCGGCCCGCCGGAGGCCAGCTGCAGCAGCCTGCGGCGGATGTCCGCCGCGGCGGGCGCGAGCTCCTGCCGGCAGGGCCCGGGATGCCCAGACCCCCTCGCGCTGTGAAAGAATCGCAGCGGGAGGTTTTTCGATATGTTCGGCCCCCGGGGGGCCCTTGCCGGGCCTCGGGACCGTGAAAAAACGACTCAGGATGACAGGCCGGTCCCAGGGGGGGGGTCTGCGGAGTTACAGTCGGACCTTCGAGGGCAGAACATCCACCCCGAGATAATAATCACCCCGACGCGCGAAGCCGTTTCGCAAACGCACCCAAAGAGGGGCTCAATAAGGGCAGGGCTGTTCAGTAAACGCCCAGGGCCGTTTAGTAAACGCCAGTTGTCTGGTCCGGGGGGGGGTTCCTCCTTTGAGCTGAGCCAAAAGAACATACTTCAAGAACATGAGACCCTCCGTCGGCCAACAAAAGGACAGATCATCATCGAAGGGGCACCCTGCCGAAAATGCACGAGAACATCCAACAAGCACGAGGAACATTAAGGCACCCTCCCCGAATCGATCTCGATCGTATACCTCGGTCCGCCTGTACGGGTATGGCGACTGTGTCGCTTACTCTGTGCGGAAGCAGACTAGATCTGCTACCTCCTGGCCCGTCTGACCTGCTCTCGCTTACTGTAGAACTTCGGCCACAGACCCTGGAGAAGACGCCTCCGATAATCAATACGGTTACTGTCGAGGCGATGGCTGCATTCCTTGCTGAGCATTGCTAGCTGCACCGCTGCAAAACACCCACAAACCTAGCAAACCCTGAGCCACAACCCGGCGTGAAACCTTCGAGGTTAAGAATCGTGAGCGTACCCTCCCGAGAGGTGCACCCTTTTGCTAGGAGGGGGTCTGCAAATGATGCCGCCCACGCTAACTAAGTCAAAAAACGGTGAGTTCAGCAACTCGCTCTTACAGGCAAGAGCAGTCGACCTCTGACCAAGTTTGCAACTACGGCCGTTATCGCCGAGGTGGTGCGGCGAGGCGAACATTGCACATACACTGACTGCTGAAGGGCGAACGACGCGCGACGGGGCCTTACGCTGACGGCGTCTGGTCACCGAACTCTCGGCTTTCTTTAAACATTCTCCGGCTTGAACAGCTTCCAGTGTGCTCTGTAGAATGCGCATTCGCGCAACGAGCACTAAGCTTTCCACCCTATGTATACGCGACCGCGTGCACGTGCAACCTCGACGCCGGCGGCCGCAACCTCATTCGCAACCGTGTTGCCTACAAGCAGGAGGCGCGGCGCATGCTCTCCTACCCTGTGCTCGGTGCCAAAGAGGAAGGACACTTGGTGTACAAGAGCGTCATGCACTGCCTGCAACAGTGCGTCCCATGGGGGGGCTCCACCTGCTCGACCAACGGGCGCCCTAACAGCCAAGATCCACTCCATGTGGGGGGGACAGGGGACTGCAACGGCCCGCGCCGATCGGCAGAACAATGAACAAGAACACGACCGCCAAGCTTCTCCTGAGCCTCCTCCGCAGGCCGACAATCCGCAGAGGGTTTCTCAGAAGCCCGCGGGGGGAGGCTTCTGAGAGGGCCCCGCCGCCGTCCGAGAAAACCTCTGCGCCCCCTCCTTCGGCCCCCGCCCCCAGGGGCCCGCCGCCCAACGGAGGGTCCTCGTCCGTGAACTGCAAAGGCGCCTGGGCCGCCTCCGCGCGCGAGAGGAAGGGACTCAGCAGAGCCTCCGCGGGGGCCAGGCGCGCGGCTGGGTCGTACGCCAGCAACCTGCGGCGCGCGCGGGGGGGGCCCGTCGAGCAGGAGGATCGGCCCGACTCGACGAGGAGGGAGGGGTGTTTCGGAAGTGCACGGCCGGTCGAACTCAAGGACAGCAGGAGGGAGGGAGGGAAACGGGAGTAGGAAGGGGGGCACCGACTGGCTGATGAAGAGGGAGGGGAGAGACATTTCGACAACAAGCTGTCCGAGGCGGCAGGACTACCGCAAACCGCATCGACAGCGAAACCGACCGACAGAAACCGACAGGCCGCAATCAGTTCAGAAGGCCGCAGCGACGCAGCAACGACACAGCAACCGATCGATCGGAACCAACTGAACGCAACCGACTAGGATGCAGCTGAACCGATCCAGCCGCGGACATCCTTCTGGCTGGAGTCGACCAGTAGCTATAAGCATGCATGCCAGCTACAAAAGACGCCCGGCGTGCCATATCGCGCGCTCGAATGGCCGTGAGGACGCCCCTGGAAAGGGGGGGGGGCCCAAAATCGCCCCGCGAGGCCCAAAAGAGGGCCCCATGACGGCCATAGATGGCTCCAAGACGGCCCCCATGGCGGCCCAAGATAACGCCACGAGGAGCCAAAGAGCGGGAACACGGTTTTTCCTTTACCCCCCCCAAAAAAACACGTAATGATGACAACTGCCAGCTTCCCAACTGATGGGGCGATGAATCCACCAAGCAAGCCTAGAGAAGGTGGTCGGGACCCCTGTCCCGAGCAGTGCAAAGTGGTGACCAAGCCCACACTTTCGCGTGACGACGAAGAGACCAAACCAACAAGAAAACAGAGAGACAACAAGACCGCCAGGAGAGGAAAGAAGAAGAAGTGCAAGAGACCCGGAACAGCCCACAGGTAGACTGCTATGGGCGGGCCCGAAGGTGGAGCCATGGCCTGAGAGAGCGCAGAGCGACGTGGGGTTACACCCAACGCGCCAGTGCATACGTGTAACTGATAGAAAAAACGCACCGATTGCTATCGCCCCAGAAGCAAAGCCAGAGGAGGGAGGAAACGGAGAGGAAGGCATCACAAGTCGGACGGCGGGTAGAAGAACATGTTGAAGTAGTAGCCGCCCCCGGCCAGGATGGAGGCCGCTGGGCGTCTGGCGACGGGTGCTGGCGCACCGGTATGGCCAGGAGGCCCCTCAGCTCAACGGCCTGAGCGGGGTCATGCGTTGAACTCCGCCTCCCAAGGCCGCGATCGTGGGAGGGTGGGAGGAGTGGGGCGAAGGCGCCAGCCAGAGTCGCAGGGATAGGTAAGAGGAAACGACGTTAGTGGTAGCGGGAGTGGGTCGGAAATTCTGGTGGTACTGGTCGTTGGAGGCGGGGTTTCCCGTGGTCGTGGTGTGGCGGTCGGCGGACCGTCGGACTCCGCTGCCAGCTGGGTTATAGCCGCTGCACCGGCGTCAGGGCGGGAGCCAGTCGGAGCAGGAGTCGGACTAGGATAAATAGCTGGAGTCGGGGCTTCTCATGGTCGTGCTGCTGGCGACCGTCCGCCACTCCTGGTCCTCAGCAGCACTGGGCCAGAGCATCCTTGCACGCGCAAGTGTGCTGCTGGTGAGGAGGCTGCAGGTGGATTGAGTCGCTCGTCGTGTTGCTAACGTCCGTGGGATGGGCGCAATTGTCTTGGTCAACGGCCCCTGGGTCTTGGAACGCACTCCAAGAAAAAGTGGTGAACTCAAGACGGCGTCCAAGATGCCGCTTCATATGGATACCGCAGGAGGGCGGGGCTGGAGTCGGAGTCGGTATGGGATCTGGAGCCGCTGGATATCAGAGTGCCGAGCTGGTGCCACTGGTGGAGGCTGGAGGGTGACTGGTCGAGGTGGGAATGGAAGTCGCATGCTGGAAGCTGTGAGTCGGAACGTTGACTGGCCGAGGCTGGCCGTCGATTGGTGGAGGTGCAAGTGGGTAATTAGCCCGATGCTGGAGGTTGGCACTGAGCTGAAGGAGACTGGAGAACGGGGGCCGTGAGCCGGCGCAAGCGTCGGTGCTGGTGTAGGCGGTGGTCGTAACGGTCTGGTCGCCCATCAGCCCAAGACAGACGCAACAAAGTCGAACCAGGCAGGGATGCAGGCGCAAGCGTTATTGCTACCGTCGGCGCTGACGTCTACGCTGGCGGAGGCTCTGGCAGCGGCACAGGCGTAGGCACTGGAGTTGGCGTCGGTGCTAGGGCAAGAGCTGTCGTTGGTGACAGCGTGCGCGCTGGTGTTGGTGCTGGCGTCCGTGGTTGTGCAGGCGTTGGTCGTAACGGTCTGGACGCCCATCTGCCCAAGCTTGACGCCATGGTAGCTGGGATGGCGGTGGCGCTGTCTATAAACAAATCTTACGGGGGGGCAAGATTTGTCCGCCGCTTCTCGTCCGTCGGCAATGTTGGTGCCGGTGCTTGTGCGGCATTGGCGCTGGCCTTGGTACGGGTGTCAGTGCCGGCGATCGCGCTGGCGTCGGTGCCAACGTAGGCGCCGGCGTTGATCCTGGAGTCGGTGCTGGCGCCGGCGCTGGTGTGGGCGTTGGTCGTAACGGTCTGGACGCCTATCCGACCAAGCCGGGCGCAACAAATTCGAACCAGGCAGGGACATAGGCGCAGGCGTTATTGCTAGCGTCCGTGCCAGCGTCCGCGCTGGCGGATACTCCGGCGTCGTCACTGGCATTGGCGCAGGCGTTGGATTGGCGTCGGTGCTGGGGCAGGGACTGTCGTTGGTGCCAGCGTGGGCGCCGGCTTGGTGCTGGCGTCGGTGCTGGTGTAGGCGTTGGTCGCAACGGTCTGGACGCCCATCAGCCCAAGCCAGACGCAACAAAGTCGAACCAGGCAGGTACAGGCGCAAGCGTTGTTGCTAACGTCGGTGCCGGCGTCGGCGCTGGCGGAGGCTCCAGCGTCGCCACTGGCGTAGGCGTAGGCGTTGGAATTGGCGTCGGTGCTGGGGCAAGAGCTGTCGTTGGTGCCAGCGTGGGCGCCGGGGTTAGTGCTGGCGTCGGTGCTGGCGTTGATGCCGGTGTAGGCGTTGGTCGTAACGGTCTGGACGCCCGTCAGCCCAAGCCAGACGTAACAAAGTCGAACCAAACAGGGACGTGGGAGCAGGCGTTGTTGCTACCGTCGGTGCCAGCTTCGGCGCTGGCGGAGGTTCTGTCATCGGCACTGGCGTAGGCGTAGAGGCGTTGGAACTTGCATTTCGAGCCCTCTGCCCTAGGATGACTCTGGAGACCGCCAGTAGCCTCCCAAGAGGCCCCCAAGAAGCCCCCGAAGCTCCCAAGAGGCCCAAAAGATGCCCTAAGAGGACCCCGAAAGGCCCCAGGGAGGCCCCAAGACACCTCAAAACTGGGCTCCGAGGGGCCTCCTAAGATATCCCAACAGGCATCCAAGAGGCACCTGAGCCACAACCCAGGCACGGCGGCAGAATGCGCATGTGGCTCTCTCTACTCTCGATTCTCATCCCTCTACGACGTGCCCTCCCCTGTTTACATTTGACATATACGGTCAACGTTATTTTATCTAGTTAGGCTTTGCCTGAAGGTTGCTTGAATCTTTTTGGAGAGCATGTAAGTGGAAAGCCTGGCCGTCCAGACTTCCTTGGGGTTCCGCTGTCTTCGTTCCTTCCAGTGGCCTTCCTCGGGGTTCCTTCGCCTCGTTTCTTTACAGTGGCCTTCCACTGGGTTCCTTGGTCTTGATTCCTTGGCACCTTGATTGCTGCCTTCCTCGGGCTCCTTGGTCCTGATTCAGTGGTTCCTTGGTCTTAGCTTCTTGGTTTTTGTTTCTTGCTGCCTCGTCACGCACTGTCAACCACTGCCAAGCAATGCATAGCAATGCCCCCCAATGCCAAGCAACACCAAGCGATGCCACGCAATGCCAAGCAATGCAAGCCCAACAATGCCAGGCAATACCAGGCAATACCAAGCGCCACGCAACGCCAAGCAAGGCTGAGCAATGCAAAGCAATATGCGAAGCAATGTGCCAAGCATGCAAAGCAATGCCAAGCAACAGTGCGCCCATCAATAAAAATGTTCCCCCTAATTTGGATCGCGCTGGGCTCATTGTTGTTGTGTCGTTTCTCTCTCTCTCTCTCTTTCCCTCCCTCTCTCTCTCTCTCTTTGTTCCTGTAACAGTTCCTCCCTACTCTCTTTGCCGTCCGCTCTCCGAGCCCTGATCCCTATTTTTCACACGTTATGCGCTCTACTCTCTACTCTGTCCCTACCCTCGAGTCTCGGGGAACCTGGCCGCACCATAGAACTATGTAGAGTCCAAGAATCCAGGACGGATCGGGGCTGCGTTGACCAGGGGCTGGTCGAACGAGGACTGGGGCGCTATATTTGGAAGATGCCTCCGGCGCGCATGCCCCAGAACCCCGGGGCCCTCTCGAGCGCGCAGCACCACCTTCAGTCAGACTTCCGCGCACTCCCAACATCGGACAAGGGCGGCGCGCAGGGGGGCGGACCCGCGCGTGCAGCAGACTAAAAAAACTGCAGTGCAGAACAACTGGACCTGCATCACGGATGCCAGCTGTCACGCAAATGGTCGGCAAGACAGCAGCACAACTGCATTGCAGACATCGACAGCGCAGAACAGTTGCAGCGGAGGGGCCCCTGCTGCTGCCGAGCGGACTGCCTGGTCACATTGTGTGGGGCTTGCGAGAAACGTGGCTCCTGCGCACAGCAAACGAATAACTGGAATGGCAGCCCCCCCGCCCTAGCTGGGGCCGCACAAGTCAAGTTGGCGGCGCCCACAAGGGGGTAGGGGGCGGCGGGAGGGCTTCTCAGAAGCGCCCCTGCTTCTCAGGAGGCGCTGGCCTTGCATCTCCAGATGAGGCCCGCGCCTTCTGAGAAGCAGGGGTGCTTCTAAGAAGACCTCCCCCCCTCCCCCCATCCCCCCTTCTGCGCGTGGCCGGTAAAGATGCCCCCCCCGCCTGCCTGCCAGCCCCCTGTCTATGCGCACCCGAACCGAGAGGGGACCTCGGCGCCAGGAGCGGCTGCCTACGGAAACAAGAGCGGCGAACCGCCGCCAATGCCTTGCACCAGCCACGAGGACCTGCTCACTGCAGGCACTGATTTGACGATCGAGCAACACGCAGCCGTACCCAGAAGGGGGGACGGAGGGGGCTACGGGTGCGTGTTGTCGGATGGGGGTCCCCGCTCGAACGGGAGCTTCCCCCAGGGTCCGACAACCCGCACCCATACCCATAGCCAGTCCTCCTCCCAACGGCCCCCCTATGGGTATGGGTGTGAGATGTTCGTTCGCCATGATTGGGGAACCACTGGTGCTGCCCTGTCCTTGCCCCGCAAGTTTTTCGGCCTGGGATGGCGCCAGGAGTGCTTCTGAGATCACCGGGCGGCTTCCCCTCCGAGGGCCACAAAAAACCAAGGACGGAGCAACACCTGGAGCGCCCGGCATCGAATCGATGAGCCAGATCGGCGATCGAAATACATCGAATCGGCGGAAGTCGGCAGCCATGTCGGGATAAATCGAGTCGGCGGAAGTCGACAGGCTAGCAAGGCCTTCATCGAGAAACCGAAATTCAAATCGGAATCCGAACTCGAATCGATTCGGAATCGGACCCATCGAAATCAAAACGAATCGAGTCGGAGGAATCGAAATGAGCCCTGCCGAGACAGCTCCCAGAGAGACACAAAGACAATCGTGGGATACCCAAAGCCGGCCTAAGGTCGCCCAGACAAGGCTTGAAGACGGCCCCAGGAACCTACCAGACGGCTCTTGCTGAACCTCTGCGTAGAATGTTCACGCCCAAGACGGCCCCAAGACCCCCGACCGGCCCCCACAGAGAAAGAACAGCTGCGTGAACCTAAACTTTCGGAGCTCCGAGCGTAGAGTGCTCACGCCCAAGACGGCCCCAAGACCCCCGACTGGCCCCCACAAAAGAAGAAGAGCTGCGTAGACCCAGAGCTTCGGAGCTCCGCGCGGGTTTCTTGGACCTGCGCTGAACCCCTCTCCCCGGCGCGTGGCGCAGGCCAGGGACGGCGCCGGAGGCGCCGCCAAGGGGGGGGCTGGCGCCGATCAGGGACGTGCGCGCGCAGCTCCAAAAGTTTACAGTCAACCCCGTATCATTGAAGGGGCCCTGGGACACACAAATGAACGAACACAAATAACAGGATTCCTGATATTTTCCCATATTTCCTGGTTTCTTGTCCTCCCCCCCACTTCCCATATTTTCCCATATTTTCGGGGGAATCGACAATTAATTGTGCCTATGTGTTTGTGTTCCCTACTGAGATAAGGATGCGAGGGCCTTGGAAGGGAAGGCCACGCCGACCCTCTGCGAGCGGGGCGTGGCCAGGGCAAGCGGGCCAAGGATAGGCCTGAGGGGAAGGATCCAAGGGTAGCCTTGGGAAGTCGCTCATCCTTCCTATGCGCGTTGACTGCACGCTGATGCAATCTGTTCTGCTTCGACCCGGGACGATCCTCCCCACCCTCCCCCGCGGAAACCTGCACCACTCCCAGCTTGGCAACGAGGAGACATGTAGCACTGCGGCCACGTAGCGCCAAAGCAGTGCAGACTGCAGCGATGCGCCCCAGACGGCCAAAAGA